AGGGAAAATCCAAAATCAATTAAACAATGTCGATTGTGACTGAAAAATGTAATATATGATATGGTGTGCCTATTCTCAGATTGCATTCTCATTCTCAGTGCATTACTGTTTATGATGCAGCTGATGTCATGTCACAGCAAGTCTCCAAGAAAGAAGCTGCCCACCATTTAATATTGGCTATTCACGTGTTGCATAATTGATTAATTCCTTTTGTGTTATTGGTGTGGTAAAGTACTGCTGTACCGTATGTGTACTTACTATGTTACGGCAGTATTAATGAGGACCTTCGTTTTTTAATATTTAATGTTTTGCAGTTTTATTAGATGTTCTTGAACAGGGTGTGTGCTAAATTACGAAAAACAATTTTGTGAGGTTTTGTTCTGCGGCATTTCTTGCTGAAAGCTGTTAATCAGTGTGTATTAGTTATTTCATTTTGTTGTAAAAACAAAACAACGTAATGCAATATATGATCTGATATCTTATATGCTATGTATGCAATATGTGATCTTATATGCTAAAGAAACATCCAATGAATTGGGTTTGATTAGTTTATAATGAAGTTATTTAGTGCTAATATTAAAAATGCTGTTTTCTCTATTAATTTTCTGGGCCCTCATCGTGTCTCCTAAATTCTTGTAGTGAGATATTTAATCAGCTGTAAATTTACGAATATTTACATGAGCGTTGCAATTTCTTTGTATTGGTAAAAATATTTTTTAAATACCTTCTTTTCATCACTTTATGAAGGTGGTATATAATTCTAATGTCAGATTTCAAACATGATCTTATGCATTTCTGATGAAATTGCTGAATGATGAAATGCTTCTTTTTAATAAGATTTTGCGTACAAGATGTGAACATCTTCGTTTTAGAAAAGCAAATTATAAGATTTAAACTAGGCTTCAGTTGCTGAACATTCTTCTTTTCAATTATTCAACCATAACTGCATTTAAAAGAAGTATTAAATCTCTAGTGATCCTAAAAGCTTCAAAATATTTTTAGGGAAAGGTAGGAAAACTATTTTCACATTCTACTTCTCAGAAATCCTTTAATTTCATCTGTTTGCCAGAGATAACTTTTTAATTATCATATAAAGGGATTTAATGCTTTTTAAAAACCTTGATGAAAACATTTTTTTAAACTTCCTTTCTCTCTCATCTATTTTTAGAATATGTATTTTAATTACTCTCCAGTGCTGGTTCTCCATAACAAATTACATCTGTTCATATTTGTTATATACTAGCATGCACGTTTCAGTCCCAGCATTGTTTGTACTTGAAGATCATCAATAAGAATCCAATTTTTTTAACAGAGCAAGAAAATATGTTCGTTTGATATTAATATTCGGAATAATTTAATTGTCTAAATAGCCATTATGTCTAATTAAAATGTGTTGCTTAAGTAGATAATTCCTCTTATTCAATTAGATTAGAAAGAGCCCAGATGAAATGCATGAGATCACTAATAAATATCAGGAAAG